CATTTCGCTGTTTTTCCTCCCTCTTGGTTCATGGTCCACTTTTATTTTTCAAACTTTTTCATATGCTGCAAATCATTCATTCTCCCTGGAACTCCTTTTGCTGGAAACCTGCTATGTGCCAGACATTGTGCAGGGTGCTGGGTGCAAAGTGCTGAATAAAAAAATGAAAAAACGAAGGTTCATTACTTCATATCCCCATGTCTAGAGAAGACGGCGTTGAAAAAGTAAACACATAAATGGAGAAGAGGACTTACCTTGGTGAGGACTGTGTTTGCTTGCACATAGTAAAAACTCCTAAAGACAGTGGCTTAGACAAATTAGGTTTAAAGTGTGTGTTTTTGTTGTTTTTTCATGTTCAGATTGGTGCCCCCAGGGTAATGAGGATGCTGAGAAATGCAGTAGAACCAGGCTCCTTCCCTCTTCCTGTTTTGCCATCATCCCAGCCACTGTATATGTGTTCTCATGGTCCTTGGGAGCTTCTGCACCTCCAAGCCCAGCACATATGCCCCACAAGGAAGAAAGCCTCCCAGAGAAAGCAGTGACAACTGCGTAAAAGCAGCTGTGGCCATAACTCCTCAGCACCTCTGCTTCTGCTGCTAGGTGGAGACTTCTTCACAGCTGCCTCTCACTCCATGGGAAGATGGGAAATGTGACGTCTTAGTTCAAGCATGGAGCTCCCCTGAGCAGACGCAGGGGCAGTCGGCACAAACTGGGGGCCAGTCAGAAAGGAAGATGGCAGACAGCAGCATCTGCCAGACCCATGGAGGAAAAGAACAGAGCCCCAGGAGGGAGGAGGGCAGAGGAGACCTCTGCTGGCGAGGGCAGCCAGGGAAGGCCCCTCAGAGGAGGTGTCACTTAAGCTGGGTCCCAGGGTAGGCATCCCACGGAGGAGAGCAGTCCAGAAGAGGACAGTCAATGCTGATTTGGCATTTAAGTTCCATCCATGGAACCTGATTTACCTGTTATAAACTGAGTTGCAGATGCTATTCTAGCCCATGTATCCAAGAACAAGAGATCCAGAATGCTATTCTTGCTGTGCCTCCATGGTGGAAAGTTTTTCAAAGCTGTCACGGCAACACCGCCCAGTTCCTACTCTGGCATTATTGAACAGGAAGACATTTCCTGATCTGTTGTCGAATTCTACCTTCACCTGACAACAGTCAGAATGTTCGTAAATAGAGAATTTGGGTTAAAATGTTTTTTTAATTTATCTTTTTATGCATTTATATCTAAAACACATCCTAAAATACATGAATCGATATCATCTCCCAGGTTGTCATCAGATGCTAACTCTGCTAAACGCAATGGGGTCTCGAGGTGTAAGTGCTCTAATGGCCACTAGGTGGTGACAACACGCTGCACACAGACACAACGGTGTCCCACTCAGAAGGGCAGAGCAGGTGGAGCCGAAAGCTTTCGGAGGCAGGAACTGCTGTGGCTATTTAGTTCCGTAAACTAATAAACACTTTAGAAGGTAAAAATTAATGAAGGCCATGCACAGCCCCCTCAGTAAGGTACCCAATAAGCTGGCCCACGCTGCAGTAGACTGCCTCTGCTAGTGGGGCTGACATTCTGCATCTTGGCACGGCATCTTCGCCACCTCCTTCAAGTACCTTCCATTTTTCTTTTATTAGAGTTGAGCTGTAAGGCAGGCCCCTTGGCCTGGTGTTTAAGAAACCTAGATTCCCACATAGCCAAAGAGCAATTCAAATTCCGCCCTAGCAGCTTGAAGGACACACTGGGTGCATGTGTGTTCATGTCTCAAAATCGTAACAGGAGGGAGAGATGGAGACGGCATTGTGGCATGACCATACCCCACCAAGGGGTGCTTTCTCTCTCTCTCTCTTTCTTTCTCTCTCTCTCCCTTCCTCCCTCCCTCTCCCCCCCCCCCTTTTTTTTTTCTTTCTCCCTTCCACAAC